GAGAGAGAGAGAGAGAGAGAGAGAGAGAGAGAGAGAGAGAGAGAGAGAGAGAATCCCATGCTAGGTGTGGAGCCTGATTTGGGGCTTGATCCCCTGACCCTGGGATGATGACCTGAGCTGAAATCAAGAGCCAGACACTCAACCGACTAAGCCCCCCGGGGCACACCTAGATTTTTCTAAAAAGGAACATAGATAACAAAGTTTCTCAGGAGATGATATTGGTGAAGGGTCTCCAGAGAAACAGAACCAATAGGATGTGTATGTGTATAGAAAGAGATTTATTATAGGGAAATGCCTCATGTCACCACAGAGGCTGGTAAGTTCAAAGTCCTCAGGGTGGGCTTGTAGGCTGGACACCCAGGAAAGCCAATGGTGCAGTTTCAGTATGAAGACAACCTCCTGGAGAATTCTGTCTTGCTCAGGGAGGCTGGTCTTTTTGTTCTAGTCAGGCTTTTTTTTTTTTTCTTTTAAGTAATTTATTTAAATTCAAGTTATTTAACATACAGTGTAGTACTGGTTTCAGGAGAACCCAGTGATTCATCTTTTACATATAACATCCAGTGCTCATCCCAACAAGTGCCCTCCTTAATGCCCATCACTTAATAGCCCATCCCCCCCCCCACCTACCTCGCCTCCAACAACCCTCAGTTTGTTCTCAGTATTTAAGAGTCTCTTATGGTTTGCCTCCCTCTCTTTTTGTATCTTATTTTATTTTTCCTACCCTTCCCCTACAGTCATCTCTTTTGTTTCTTGAATTCCACACACCAGGGAAATCATATGATATTTGTCTTTCTCTGCCTGACTTATTTCACTTAGCATAATACATTCTAGCTCCATCCACATTGTTGCAAATGGCAAGATTTCATTCTTTTTGATCTCCAAGTAATAGTCCATTGTGTGTATGTGTATGTAATATTCCCTTGTGTGTATCTTTATTTATTCATCGGTCGATGGATATTTGGGCTCTTTCCATAATTTGACTATTATTGACGGTGCTGCTATAAACACTGGGGTGCATGTGCCCTTTCAATTCAACATTTTTGTATCCTTTGGATAAATACCCCGAGTAGTGCAACTGCTGGGTCGTAGGGTAGTTCTATTTTTAATTTTTTGAGGCACCTCCATACTGTTTTCCAGAGTGGCTGTACCAGTTTGCATTCCCACCAGCAGTGCAAAAGAGATCCTCTTTCTCTGCATCCTCCCCAACATACATCGTTTCCTGAGTTGTTCATTTCAGCCACTTTGACTCGTGCAAGGTGGTATCTCATTGTGGTTTTGATTTGTATTTCTCTGACGATAAGTGATGTTGAGCATCTTTTCATGTGTCTGGATGTCTTCTTCTTTGGAAAAGTATCTATTCCTGTCTTCTGCCCATTTCTTCACTGGATTATTTGTTTTTTGGGTGTTGAGTTTGATAAGTTCTTTATAGGCTTTGGATACTAATCCTTTATCCAATATGTCAGTTGCAAATATCTTCTCCCATTCTATAGGTTGCCTTTTAGTTTTGCTGATCTGGTCAGGCTTTCAGCTGATTGGATGAGGCCCACCCATGTTATGGAGGGCAATGTGCTACTCAGATTTCACTGATTTAAATTTTAATACCATTCCAAAAAACCCTCCAAGTTGATACATAAAATTAAACATGACAAAGACTTAGGCCAGTCTGCATTTTAAACTCATTTCTCCAGGAGGTGGAATTTACTAGGTGGTAACAGAATTTTCTACCTTAATAATTAGCAGAGCCCACTAAATGGGGCTTGTGGCAGATTACAGCAGGTTAGGTAGTGCTGTCACATTTTAAGAATGAACTACGGTGCACAGATTCATAGAAAATAAAATTCTCATTTGCAAAAATTCAGCCCTTGAGATTTGGTTTTAATGAGGATTTAAAAACTGTTTTTTAATGTTTATTTAATTAATTAATTTATTTTTGAGGGGTGGGGGGCAGAGAGAGAGGGAGACACAGAATCCAAAGCAGGCCCCAAGCTCTGAGCTGTTAGCACAGAGCCCAACACGGGGCTCAAACCCATGATCCGCGAGATCATGACCTGAGCCAAAGTTGGGTGCTTAACTGACTGAGCCACCAGGCACCCCTGAGATTTACAACTCAAAGCTACAACTGTAGGAATTACCAATAGTCCATTCAGACTAGCCTTTGTAATGATAATCATCTTCTTCAATACTAATAATTTTAATAAGAGTTAACATTTGCTGACTGCTTCTTGCATGCTGGGCCCAGTTCTGTGTGTTATCTGATGTATCTCAGCACTAGGAGAAGGGTACTATTATTCTTTTATACCTTCCTTTACATGTCTGGAAATAGAGTCTCAGAGAGGCTAGTAAATTGGCCATGGTAACACAGCCAGTAAATGGTGGATCCAGGATTCAAAGGAGGCAGTTGTTTTCAGCACATGCTGTATATAAAAAGGATTTGGGGCACCAAAGCACACTTGCCTGAAAAATCTCTCATTATTTGTCATAGTGTCTGAAGTTGTCACTGTTAGAAGAATCAAAACTTTGGAAGACCAAATACTCAACCCTCAGAACTAATGGTTCATCCAGTGCCCATGTAGGTGCCGGCGGGGGGGGGGGGGAGGGGGGGAGGGGCGGGGAGGTGGGCAAAAAGAATAAAGTAGACTCCCTACCTATATTCACAGGGTTCTAAGAATCAGGTCGTGGATATCCTCGGCGGGGGCGTTATTCTGCGACCATACCCGAGAAGCATTTTCTGACCCAGATAGGGTTAGGTACCTCTCTCGTCAGTGCCCACAATTGCCTGTTGACTTGTCTGTCACATGAGTCAAGATGAGATGTTCCTTAAAGGCAAGTATATGTCTTCTCTGCCCCTGAGTTCTGACACTAGCACATTGCTGTCCAACATGAATATACTTTGAGCCACATATTTTATCTTAAATTTTCTAGTGGCCACATTAAAAAAAAAAAAAAGTAAGAAGAAACTGGTGTAACCCATTTTAATACTGTACTTAACTCGATGCATCCAAAATGTTATCATTTCAACCTGCAATCCATATCAAATTTACTAATGAGATATTTTACACGCATTTATTTGGACTCAGTCTTCAAAATCCAGTGTGTGTTTTTATACATACAGCACATCTCAGGTAGGACTAGCCACAATCCAAATGATCAGCGGCCACGTGTGGCTGGTGGCTGCCCCCATCGGACAGCTCAGCCTCAGCACAACCCCTGGTGTCAGAAGCACAGATGTGTGCATTTCCGAATAACTGGGTGAGGGGGCTGGCGAGGAGCCAGCGTGACTGTCGAATCTTAGATGTGAGCGCCAGCTTCAGGGCACTCCATGGTTGTGGCTTGTTTCGTTAGATTTTGCATAGAAACCAGCAACAAAATCAAACGCCTCATGGACAATCTATTTCCGTTTCTGATTTGGCAATGTGCACACTTGGGTGAGGCACTGTCAGTTCCCTGTGAAGAGGGAGCACCCACTGCAGTAAACATTTACCGGGAGCCCTCTCCCTGGGCTCCCATGAGTGGGAGGTAATTAGCTGGTGAGGCGGAAAACATATTTTCACAACATTTCCCAAGGTTTGCCTTTCCTTTCATGTAGAGCTCCTTCAAAATATTATCCTCAAACTGCAGTTTGAAAGCTGACCCTTCTAACTCTGCCTTCCCAGATCTCTTTGAAGTCACAGAACAGTCTGAACACAAAGCATTTACACAGTCCTGCGGCAGAAAAATAAACACACATCCCTCCTGAAGGGAGACCCTGGCTTCCAAGTTTCAGAGCGGAGGTCTGCCAAACAGAAGAGACTGACTGGCATCCAGGGCTCTTGTTTCCATCAGGATTACTCCAGGATGCTTTTTGGTCCTCTGCCTTGCTAGTTCAAAAAAGTCACTGGAATCCCCTTAATGAACACACTGGTTTCTGTGCAATTGGCACCCACACAAAGTTCCTTGAATTGTGCTTATGTGTAGAGCATTGTGATCTAGCAGGATGTTAAGTAAACTATCATCAGAAACAAGTTTAGGTTCCGCATGCCAAGAGATGGACTGTAAACAGACAATCACATAGCCACAGCATTCTGTGTTGCTTTTCCTCTTTGTACACCCAGCAACCGGGCAAAGAACCAGTCACGTATCAGGTTGCTAAGTGGTGTTGAGTAAATGAATGCATGAACAAACAAATGAATGGCACAGACCCTCCTCTCTCACGCTCAGACTTGCAGAGGGAAGCGGAGGGGAAATCTGCTAGGGCTCATGCCCTCCTCGGAATACACGTGTAGCAAACTCGGAGGAAAAGAAGACTGCCTCTCCGGTACAGCCCATTATAAGAGAGGAGAAAGGAACATGCGCCCCACAGGTGAGGATGTAGGCTTTTGCGTTGTCTAAAACTGGGACAAGTCTCAGGGTAAACTGGGCACTGCCTAGAGGCTGCAGATCACTTTGTGTTCTCCAGGGCAGGACTGGCGGGTTGCACCTAGAACCCCCCCAAAGGCAGTGAAGGCCCGAGGAAGCGGAAGACAAAACTGAACTGATTCAGGCTGTGTTGACACGCACACCGTGTAATAGATTTGGGGGCATTAAAGTTAATAGTTTGCAACTTATTTTATTTCTGTTGAGCTCGCCTGCATGGCTCAATTTATCCAAGCGTCCTTTGACCCAATGCACTTAAAAACAGGAAAGGAACCCCATTTATTGGAAACCTAAAAAAGGAAAGATAGGGATGGAAACAATGCCCAGTGTCAAAGGCTCTCACAGGTGTGGAGGACACATCTTCTTGTGAATGATACAGGCTACGGGAGTTAGAAAGCCAGTGTTTCTTCTAGAAGGGCAGGTGCTCATATTTCCAGTCATGGGGAAGGAGGGTGGGCCTAGGGCATAGCCTTGATAGGAAGCCAGCAAAAGCAACTGTAGAGCCCAACCCATATCTCCCCACCCCAACTTCTGTAGCCCGGCTTCTCACTGGCCCACACTTCCAAGGTTGCCACATCAGGGAGGAAATGTGGGTATGCTCATGTGTGCATGCATAGGCTTTATTTTTCACTGGCTTATTTTCTCTTAAGACCCAGACAGAGGAGAATGTCTGATTACTTTTCATCCGTGATGTGTTTGAGCCACTGTCTCAACTTTAAATTGCATTACGTCCTTTAAACTCTTTCTTTTCTTCTTGTCTAGCGAGAGTGGGGAATCATTAGTGAGAAACATTGTACACACAGTCTCAAACGCATCTTCTTTAAATCCTAACTCTCCAAGTTTGATAATTAAAACAAAACCCAAACTTGGGCACATATGCATTGTAACAGAGAAAAATTGTCGGCCAATTTGTTGAGGCCAGATGGTGGGCAGTGAAGAATAGAATTAGGTTTAGGAATTGGGGGAGGCTGGGATGTAGTAGATTTTGCAAAGTATTCATGAGTAGAGTTATTTATTTTAGGGACATGTAGGCCTATGTGATGTGGGCCAAGTTCAGAGTCCAAGGTTTCTATGCCAACTGGGGGAAAGATCAGGTCGGGAATGGATTTCAATTAAACCAAATGACAGGAATAACCAGCAAGCAGCTTTGGGGCAGAAAGAGGTCAGAAAACTGCCATGAGATCCGTGAGTAGGGACAGATGGGCCAAAAAGGAGGGGAGAACCACGAGGCTGCTTTCCCGCTTCCTGTGCTGGTTAGCCATTGTCCTTCAGTGTAAGCAGGTAAGTGTGCAGCTATGTGCTATGAGCTCCAGAGGAAAGCATACTAATAAGTAAGGCTTCTTTTTGGCTACTGGAAGCTGAAATTTTATTTGTCCAACTGTTTGTTTGTTTGTTTGTTTTTCATTGTAATCATAAAATTCCACCTACTTGAACACTCCCAAGTTTTGGTAGGAAATTAAATGTTTGGACTGGTGATCTGAGGTTGACATTCTAAATATTTTCTCTAAAATTAGAAGCTTCCATAACATTGCGATGGCCAAACAAACTTGATTCCCAGGTCTTTACCCTAGACTTATTTTGCTAAGTGCTTGGCTGTGGTATTATCATTTCAGTTTGAGTATACGGCTCAGGAATGAAGAACACCTCTCTCATATCATGTCCTAAATTAGTAAAAATGGTCGATGCTGTAATGAGGTGAGTTGGCATGGGAGTGAAGCAGGAAAGTGCTGGCTGTGTCTTCATCACTTACGGCAAGCCTGCTCCCATGGGCCTGGCACCAGCAGCTTCTAAGCAGATGGTTTTATATTTGTGTTCTTTTAGTGGCTGCACTTCATTTTTTAAAAAATGAACCTCAGGTGCACAAAATTGGGTTACTTGTAATTCTGGGTGTGTGGAAAGCTATCATACATTCATCTATATCTCTTTTTATTTATTTAGTTTCCTTTACTAATCATCCCCGGTCCCAATTTTCATGTCTCCCCATCAAAGGCATCCACTCTCGTGTCTTTACTTACAATAAATGTTATTGTGTTAAACATCTTATTCTGGTTCATAATTTTTTACATTTAGTATTGCGACCCCGTCATTTACATATATCACATTTTGGTTTTCATTTCCTATCGGTGAACATCTAGGGGATGTCAGACTTTCTATTACAGAGTGCTGCAGTAAATATTTTTAAAATTAATTTTATATTTTTATCATGTCTCTTTGTGCATTTGTGTTTTTTTCCCCCTGGGAGACACAGGATATAAACATAATGAATTTTCATTAAGTACTTTTAAATGGGTCCTCAAAATGAGCACACAATCCTCCCCGCAACATTTAAAAGAGATCCAGTAAAGGAAGCCATTCATTGAACTGACAGGGTATGCCTCCCCCTACCCCCAGCTTTATTGAGGTATAATTGAAATATAACATTGTGTAAGTTGGAGGTATATAGCATGTTGATTTGATACACTTATATACTGTAAAATGATGACCACAGTAGGGTTTAGTTAACGCCTCCATCACCTCACAAAATTACTATTTTTTTGTATACCTGCGAACATTTAAGATTTACTTTCTTAGCAACTTTTAGGTATACAATACAGTATTTTTAACTACAGTCACCATGCTGTTTGTTAAATCCTCAGAACCTATTCACTTATAATTGAAAGTTTGTGTCCTTTGACCAACATCTGCTATTCCCCCCCACCCTCCCCGCCCCAAACCCAGCCTCTGGGAACCACCATTCCACTCTCTGTTTCTATGAGTTTGGCTTTTTTAGATTCCACATACAACTGATATAGCATTTGTCTTTCTCTGATTTATTCCACTTAGCCTAATGCCCTCAAGGTTCATCCGTGTTGTCACAAATGGCAAGACTTCCTTCTTCCTCAGGGCTTAGTAATATTCCAGTGTGTGTGTGTGTGTGTGTGTGTGTGTGTGTGTGTGTGTGTGTGTGTAATCTCAGTTTTTTTAAAAAAATACATTCATCTATAGATAATCACTTAGGTTGTTTTCACACCTTGGCTATTGTGAATAAGGTTGCAATGAATATGGGAGTGAGTGCAGGAATCTCTTGGAGATACTGATTTCCTACCTTTAGATACCAACCCAGGAGTGGGATTGCTGGATCACATGGTAGTTCTGTATTTAATTTTCTGAGGAACTACCATGCTGTTCCTGATAATGGCTATGCCAATTTATATATCCACCAACAGGGTATAAGATTTCTTTTTCTCCATGTCCTTGCCAGTTTACCTCTTATCTTTTGCAAAATAACCATTCTAACAGGTGTGAGGTGATACCTTAAAAAAAATAACTTACGTAAAGCAAAAATAGTTGCCTGGTAAGAAGTGTGGGATCTGGGTGAAAGGTATTTGTGAGCTCTTTGTACCTGCAACTTTTCTGTAATTTTGAAATTATTGTAAAATAAAAAGCTAGGCAAGAAAGAATTGACAATCAGGTAAGAAGTCATAAAACATGTTGAGATCAATGTAAGTAGGCATTAATAATAAATAACCATTTTCGAAGTTAAAAACAGTGCGACACGAAAGTACTGCATATTGCATGGCTTGTATGGCAACAATGACTTTGTATGCATTGAACAATACATCTTAAAAATATATAAAGCAATATTTAACAGAACTGCAAGACAAAATTAATGTAGCTACCAAGTAGAAGATTTTAGAAACTGAAAGACCAAGATGAGGAAAGACCAAGATGAAATTTTGGTCAACAACCAAATTGAACAACACAATTAGCAAGTTTTACTTAATAGATACAAACACACAGATTCCTTCACCCAACATATAGAAAATTTACATTCATTTTTTTAAAGTTTATTTACTTATTTATTTGAGAGAGAGAGAGAGAGAGAGAGGGAGGGAGAGAGAGAGAGAAAGCAGGGGAGGGGGACAGAGAGAGACAGAGAGAGAATTGCAAGCAATCTCTGAGCTATCAGCGTAGAGCCCAACACAGGGCTCCATTGCATGAACCGTGGGATCATGACCTGAGCCGAAACCAAGAGTTGGATGCTCAACCGACTGAGCCACCCAGGCGCCCCCACATTCTTCTTAAGCAAACATGAAACAGCTTTTATTTTTTTATTTTTTAGAGGTTTTTCTTTTTATGTTTACAAGACACATTAATCTATTAAATTTGAGAATACAGTACAAAAAAACCCCACTTCAACGAACTCATCTGACAATGCTGTTCATATTCATGATGCCATTTTTTGTTGTTTTATTGGGGTTTTTTTGTTTCCTAATAATAAAGGAGACTTAGGGCTGTTGGGCTGATACATATTTGGGGGTCCCCACTCCCCACCTCACCCATATATTACCAGGGTGAAGAGGAGGAGGAGAAGGAAGGCAGGGCCCACAGCAAACATGAAACAGCTTTTAAAAAACTGACCACATTTGGGACACCTGAATGGCTCAGTTGGTTGGTGCCTGACTTCAGCTCACATCATGATCTCATGGTTCGCGGGTTCGAGTCCCGCGCTGGGCTCTTGTGCTGCTAGCTCAGAACCTGGAGCCTCTTCAGATTCTGTCTCTCTCTCTCTCTCTCTCTCTCTCTCTCTGCCCCTCCCCCACTCGCTCTCTGTCTCTCTCTCTCTCTCTCAAAAATAAACATTCAAAAACATTTTTTTAAATAAAAAAAAAAACTGACCACAACAAAGGAAGTCTCAACAAATTCCAAAGAATATTTTACTTAACTATATTTTTAAATCACAACGTAATAAATCAGAGGTCAATTTTAAAAATGGCCAGAGTCAGAACTTTCTCCCTCACTGAAATACAACTGGAAACCCAGCACCCCAGTTCAAAATACTTAACGGGTTGAAGAAAACTAAGCGGAAGTTATGAAATATTTAGCATGGACTGGAATGCAGACGCAGTAACCTGAGAATGCAGCTAAATAGGTATTTTAGGAGACAACATCATAGACTTAAAAGCC